CTGCTCCTGTTTACTTTCTCACCAAGCTCAGACCCCAACCCTGCTTTTGGTTGTCTTTATATGCTTTGTCAGCCTTTGACAAGAAGATGAGAGTTCTTAAGGGATAACTGACTCATATTTGTTAATTTGATTCCACTTTGAGGAGAGACAGGATATTTTTAATCACTCTTGTTTTTCTTTGTTGAGACAAAAATCTCACGTGTAGCCTGGGCTAGCCTGGATCTCAGTACAGAGGCCGAGGATGACTTCAAATTTGAGTCAGTTCTCCTTTTTTTTTTTGTTTTGTTTTGTTTTGTTTTTTGAGACAGGGTTTCTCTGTGTAGCCCTGGCTGTCCTGGAACTCACTCTGTAGACCAGGCTGGCCTCGAACTCAGAAATCCGCCTGCCTCTGCCTCCCGAGTGCTGGGATTAAAGGTGTTCGCCACCACTGCCTGGTAAGCTAGGTAAACACTTATGTAATGTAATAATAAAACATATTCTCAAAGAACACCAAAGCTTTATATAGAGTGGTCTCTCCTACTGCGGGACTCCCGAGACCCTCACAAACTCAGCTGCTAACACTACTTCATCCATGTATATAGATGTATGAATATGTTGCCTTTTCCTCTTTTTTGTTTCTTTGAAATCAGAGACCCAGACAGGAGGACAGAGGTCAGCCAGAGAAGACCTCCCCCCATCACCCTAGGATACACACACACACAGCAAAAAATAATGCATGTGAAAGGCTAGATTTGAACATTTGTCTTTATTTATTTATTTATTTATTTATTTATTTTTAATTTTTACCAGAACGCTTTAGTGGAATCCAGGTCTGCCCCTTCCCCTTTATTTTTATTTTGGTTTGTTTGTTTTTGAGACACGGTTTCTCTGCATAGCCCAAGCTGCCCTGGGACTTTCTCTGTAGACCAGGCTGGCCTTAAATTCAGAGACTGGCCTCTTTCTACCTGCTATTGATAGGACCGAAGGAGTGTGCCACCACCGCCTGGCCTGCCTGGCTTTTTTTTGTCTGTTTGTCTTGTTTTGTTTTGAGACAAGGTCTTACTGCGGCTCTGGTTGTCCTGGAATTCAGGAACATAGTGGCCTTAGATCTTTCTGTCTTGGCCTTTTGAGTGCCACACCTAGCTTGAGCTAGGGTTTATCAAGAAAGGGGTTTAATACAGATTTAAGCATGGTATTAAGAATAGGAAAGGGGCTTGAAAGATGGCTTCTTAACATTCATAATGGCAGCTAAGTTCCAGATGAATGTTACCACCTCTTGTGGCCTCTGCAGACATTTCATTCCCGGACATACAATTGGACAAAACACCCATACACATAAAATAAAAACAAATAAGAATTCCTAAATAAATAAATAAATAAACTAGACAAAGAAAATGAAAGAGGTTTAAGTAAAGAAATGTCAAAAGAGTGCATATCCTACGGTGATGGCCAGCTTCTCCAGAGAATTGCTGGAATAGTAGTTTTTAGAGGGCTTTGTGCAGTTGTAGTGTGTTGTGTTCCTGCTGCTTCCTCCCTAGCTCTGCTTGTCTTCATTATAGTCCTGGCTGGGAAGTGTTCCCAGTGACCTAAGTTAGTCATTGAGATCATGGGAATCCAAGATTTTCCCATGTCTTCCAGCATAGTTGTTCAAAAGAAGAGAAAAATGTTCTTTTTTTTTTTTTTTTAAGTAGAGACTTTATTACCAGAGCAATCCTTCACGAATTGTCTTTTTTTTTAGCTTTGCATATGTTGTTTATACAGTATGAATTTGTATGTAGTGTGTGTGTGTGTGTTTGTGTGTCTGACTACATAACAAGTTCTATGTAAGTCCCTGTCTTTACCCCCATCCCCCGCCAGCAACAACAACAAAAAAGCTGGGTGTCCTGTTTCATACCCTTAATCCCAGCACTCTGGAGGCAGAGGCTAAATGACTGAGTTTTTGAGGGCAGCTTGTTATGGAGATCAAGTTCCAGGCGAGCCTGGGTGACACACGATGACATAGTGAGACCCTGTCTTAAAAAAAAAACAAAAAACAAAATACAAGGACAAAACCAAACAAAGGAACAAATAATAACTCAGCAGCAAACAACAAAACAAAACCAAAAAAACAAAAGAAAAACAAAAAAACCTCCAAGTTTAAACAAATAAGCAAAACAAACAAAAAACCCATGAATAATTAATAGAAATGGAGGAGAATGAACGTTAGGATGGGCGGAATAGAGAGTCTTCAGGTCAAGAGACTGCAGAGTTAAGTGCCAGGCTGTCCTATATACAAATGGAGACCTGACCCTCCTAACACTGCTCAGTCCTAAAGTGGGGTGAGGCGTGTCCGCGTGTGCTCCAGCTAGGAGACAGCTCTCTACACAGCTGGATATTGAGTCGTTATTTAGTCTCTGGTCTTTAGCTTTCTCCTTTAGGATGAGGACAGTAACTGATGCTTTACAAGGTTGCAGATAAGCATTAGTTAATAAAGAGTTAGTACTTAACACAAACTTGCATCTCTGGTAGCTGTTTTTGTTCCTTTGTTTGGTTTTTTTTTTTTTTTTTTTTTTTTTTTTT